GTTCAGCAGTCCTTGCTCCCAGCAAAAATCCCATAGACGTTGCTGGGTTACCACTGTCTACGGAGCGCGTACAGTCTTTCTGTGCGTGCTGCTGCGGACCGCTGTGCAGCAGAAACCTGCACTGCTTGCTTCCAGGGATCTTCACATTTTCAGACTCCCAGTGTTTTCACAGAGATAGAAAGTGTGCCCTCTGGATTAGGAAACATTAATAAGAATTTGGCTGGTTGTGTAGCACAGCCATGGAGGAGGGAATAGTTTGTTACCATGGAGAAGAAACCTCTGCTAACCTTCAGATGTGTGTTGCAATTTAGGCTGGTTTGAGTGAGTATCTTCCTGATCAGATTGGTGTGCTGTTTCTCTGGGGCCTCAGGCCATCCCAGCTGCTGGTGCTGAACTCTTCCAATGACACCGGTGGACCTTTGTGGCAGGAGGTTTTGGGGGGTAAATTTGCACGACAACTCACCAATGGTAGTGTGAGGTTTGGTTCGTGTGGCAGAACCTACCCAACAGGCTGAGGAAATACGTGGGCAGTTAGGCCATGCTACACTGGATTAAATACACCTCAAGGGGCAGATGTGTGCCTCAGTGCGGACACAACATGATGAAGCATTATTCATGTATGCATCTACTTTCTGCCTGCACAGCTTAGCTGTGACCCTGCATGGTTCCTTCAGATCCCACTCTCTTTAAAGCTAGATGCCTAAAATGGCTCGGATGAGAAAGCATGACTGTTTCTTACCCATGTTTTCTGTGTGGTTCTTGCCCGCTCAGACAAGGCATGAGAGAATGTCGTAGTCTAATGCTTAGTTAAGTGGTAGTAGGCGGTGTTAAACCGTGGTACAGAAGTTCAGACAAAGCTGCTAGTTTTGAGTCCCACGTGGAGGCCTCGTGATGTGTGTCTGTACTTGGATGAATCCAAACCTCTTGGAATGGCTGCCATAGTCTAGCCCAGAGATGGCCATATCTCGGTGCATACAAGCATAGCCACGTCCTTGCAGGCAAACCCGCTTGCACATCTCCTTCTGAAGCCTGAAATTCTGCTAAATGCTAAACTCAGCTGTGGTTTCTAGGTGCTCGTTCAATCACTAGCACCTTCCTGCGTTACTGTAGCTGTTGGTGTTGTAAACGTCAGGTTTTAAGGGGAGCTTTGCACTCGCAGGATGAAATTTGCTGCAATAATTGTGTCAAAGGCAATGATGTGCCAAACGTGTGAACGCGCAGTGGGCTTGATTATGATCTTTCTGCACTTTGAAAGGATGTGGAGAGCATTTGCACTGAAGAGAGTAATGCCATTCGGTGGGTTTGGTCTCGATTTTTTCAAGACAAATACAATGCTTTCAGAAAAGACTGTATTTTGTGCAGAATAACTTGAAGTTTATGTTGAATTTTGAAAAAATTGCTTTTATTGTGATTAAAAAAACCCCAAACTTTGACTTCTCTAGATTAGCTGCCACGATGGCATAGTTGAATTCCCTGGAAAAATAAAAAACACTTATCTGAGGTGCTGTGGTTCCTGCAGGAAGGGCAAGAAACTTTGATTCACTGTTTGCTGAAAGCAAAGGAGGCATCCCTAGGGTCAGGAAGTGAACTAGCCCTACATCTCTCAAAAACCTCTAGCGATGCAATGGCACGTATTTGAAATTGCAACCCAAACGTTTCCATCCTTTGGGCAGAAGTCTGAGGTGACGCTTGCTCTACTTCTTAGCGAATGCACAGGTTGCTTTAAAAAGCATGAGGCGTTCAACGAGGGATGTTTCCAAGACCTCCATTCATACAAAAATTCATGATAATTATAGAACGACAACATTGTTCTACTCAGTGCGGGCAAAAGTGAAGCTTTCATTAACAAGCTGCACCATTTCACTTGGTATAGTCAGAGGGCTCGTGGTTACTGAAGTTGGCAGCTGTTCTGGGTGGACTGAACCTCACGTGTGGAGGAGAAAGATAAGGGTCCTTTCCTTTTTTTGGTGATATAGTTGAGGAATTAACCTTCCACTTCTAGGAAAGAAAAAAAAGTAGGCCTATCCTGAGTGCCCAAGTGTAACGTGGTGTGCAATACAAGGGTAATGCTCTGGATCAGCCCTGTTCTGTGGGCTATAGCAAGCCATGGTTTTTGTCAGAAAAGCAAATAGTTTAATTTTTTTTTTTTTTTTTAACAGGTAGGCTCCAGGACCTAAATGCTTTCGGACAGGAAGATGTATTCAGTGTTGAATAAACACCAAAACGGGAGCGGGTTTAAGCCACTTCCCGTAGTGATCATAGGTAAGTTTTCTTTTGCCAGCATAATTGTGTTCTCTAATGCTGTTTTTGCTTTGGACTTGCCATCTTCTTTGTTCCACACGTTGTTATTAAAACTGAAATTGTACCGGTCATTGTTCCTGCTGCCTTTCCCTGATAGCCAGACTTTCTCTAGTGCCGATATGAAGGGAGTGGTGGCATGTAGGGAACCAGGTGTCTGACAAACTAAAACACATCTGCGTTTCAGTAACAAAAATAGTTCACCTTTTGGACATTGGGTTAGCTGGGCCTGTTTTTCTTTCCCCCGTTGGGTGCTTAAAAGGGTTTGAAACCATTTCACTGAGAAAATCACTAAACCAAGTGGTTAACTCTCTGTAGTGCTTGAATTGGTGCATGTGATTCTCTCCTTCCCTCCCTCCCTCCCCCCCCAACGTGTGGTTTGGGAGGTGCTCCAGAGGCTGTTACAATTTCTGGGAATTTTTCATAGATCTTTTTAAAACTTCAGAAATCTCTGAGCATGTGCAAATCAGCTTCGCTGCTTTATACAGCAGTTAATAACTTTAGTAAAAAGCTGTGGCTTTTTCCCCCCCTCACCGTTTTAGAAATGAATGCGTTAACTGTCCCGTGTCCCTTGTGAGAGAGGAGCTTCGTAAGGCGAGGTGATTCGGGGAGCAAGCACGAGCGGTGACGTGAGTGCTTTCCCCTCTGACTGATGACAAGCTGTGCTGGAGGGCAGGCATTTCACCCTCCTCCTCTGAGCATGCGCTTAAATGCCTTGTAGAGCTGTGTCCCTGCCTTATCTGTCATGTCATCAGTAGCCTCAGAGCTAGTACAGAGTTTGTGGAGTACATAAATCACACTTAATTCTTGCTGACAGCAAGTTTCACGGGGCACTGTTACCCACGGGTTGAATTCTGAGGGTGACTTTCTGCTGCCTAGTTAAGAAGTCTTCCGCAGCAGGGCAGAGAGGATATTTTGATAGATGCCGGGGTGCATCTATGGGGTCCCAGTGTGGAGGCATCCCTAAAGCCTCTGGAGCACCACCAGTATGAAGATGCCCACTATGGGGAAGCTGTTGAGGGCTGAAGCAGCTCAGTTGTTTCCTTGCACCTGGACATGTCCAGCAGGTCCGCCTGCTTCCCCAGGCCTGATTTTGGGAGACCTTAGCTGTGGCTTGGGGAATAAATCCTCTGTGCACTGTGGAGTGTTATACTACGCTCCGGTGCTTGAATTTGACTCAAACTTCCTTGTACATCCTGAAGCAAAGGAGCAAGCAGGGACCATATTATATTCTACTGTAGCTGCAATGTAGTTTGCTTTTAATTTCCGTTGCTGCTTGATTTTGGATGGTAACTTTCCTGCAAGTAGAATACTCCAAGCACTGACCAACAGCCCCCTATCCATACCCAGAGCCAAGCTGACTTTGGCCCCAGCTGCGGAGGGTAGCTGCCCTTTGCATAGCTCAGCTCACCATGAGTTTTCCAGCCTAAACCTCCCTCTATCTCAAATGTCTGATAAGCGGCCTTTGCTCCAGCGGCTGTGGCATGCAGCACGGGCGCTGTGTCAACACGGCTGCTGTGTCACTCCAGCTCTCCTGCCCTGTATCGTCACTGCATTATGTAATCGTAGTCAGTCACATACTAGTGAGCAGCAACGTGCTGGGTCAGAGAGGCTGACAGCTAGTTATGCAGATGCTGTAGAATATTAAACATACTGGAGAGCAGCCATGTGAAAACTTTCCGCAGACTACTCTTCCCTGCGCTTCGGAGTCACATATATCAAGTCTTTTGGCTGGCTGTTGGGTGGTCAGCTGGACAAGTTTTGAACAAATCGATGGATGGCTAAGTGTTATATTCTGAGGGATTAGCTTGGCATGGCAAAGAGACTTTTTTTATAACTCACAGCTTGCTGTGTTATAACTATATAGTTATAAGTACAGCTTATAACTCGCTGTGGGGCTAGTTCCAAGGTCCTCGAGAGCCCCCAGCCTAAGCCAGTGTTGCTAGGTAGCCCTTATTATAATGGGATTTCTTACTGAAAGTGTACGGCAGAGCTCTTCCCTCTTGGCTTTGGTCACTCTGTTCTCTGGACTTGCTCTGTATCCTAAGCATGATGAACTACTCTGTCCAGGTGTGAAATGTGTGTCCCGGAGAGCGGAGGCCCCCAGTCAGCGTGTTACCAGTTTTCAACCTTTTAATCTGACTGCAGCTGTCTCCTCCCAAGAAATAGCAGTGGCAGAAAGAAACAGTGGCAATGAGGCAGATGGGGATAAGGAGACCTCTTCAGGGACAAAAAGCAAAAAGTTACTGAGCAATAATTTAGTTTATCATCAGGCTAGTGACCTCAAGCTTCAGGTGAGGTTAACCTCTGGCTTGTTTGAGCCAATATCTTATCAGCAAATTCTGAGGAGATTACAATGCAAGCAGACACAGCTGAGGAGTAGAAGTGGAAACAGGATAAAATTCCTTCCCCAACTCCATCCTAGAGGTCAGTGGTACCCTGGCAATAGGAAGTCTCCTGTATCTGCAGTGGTATCTTATCCTTTGCATTGGTCTGGTTATTCACAGTACTTCTCCAAGGGCTGCTCCATCTGCAGGAATATAAAACTTTCTTTTCCGTTTGTCTAGGGAACGGACCTTCAGGAATCTGTCTGTCCTATCTGCTGTCAGGCTATGTCCCTTACTTCAAAAGGGACTCTCTTCATCCTCATCCCATTCTGCAGAGGAAACTGGAAGAGGCACCAGATGTCTCCATTTTGGACCAGGTTTGTATTTTTAAAAATGCTTTTTTAGCAGAAAAAAGCCTTCACTGTGACCTCATCGTGAAGTATCCCAGGGGTATTTTATAAATGATAACCTCGTTTGGATTTTCCAAGCGCATATGCAGAACGAGCCTTAAACAAAAGACTACTTAGTTGTCCAACTTTCCCTTGTATGAAGTGCCAGCATTGCTGCTGAGATCCTCGAGGTAATTCTCGAGCAAACGGGCTGTGCACCAATAGATAAATTCTGCAGAACACCAAAAGCACCAGTTAGAAGTACCTCAGTTACAAGTACTCTCTCTGGTAGAACATATATTAAGAATCCACTCTCTCTCCTTTTAGGATTTGGAATATCTCTCTGAAGGCTTGGAGGGACGATCCCACAGCCCCGTGGCTCTTCTGTTTGATACTCTTCTGCGTCCAGACACAGACTTTGGTGGAACAACAGAATCTGTCCTCACTTGGTGGCATGAGGCCAACAGAGCTATCCCCCACCTGGTCCTTGGCAGAAACCCTCCTGGAGGTGCCTGGCATGTATGTAATTGAAGCCTAACTACTTAGGTCTGCATGTTGAAAGACAGCCAGATCTCCTAACTGGAGAGTTGAAGGTCTCAAAAAACCAACCCAAAGCAAAAAACAAAAAAAAAAAAAGAGAGGCTAGAGGATCAAATGAAATCACTGACTTCATGATATGTGGTGTATTAGAACATGACAAAATAGCATTTCATTTTTCTTATTCTTAAATGGCTTTCAGTTATTTAATGCAACTGTGTTTCTTGTTCTAGTCTATTGAAGGGTCTATGATTACCCTGAGCAGAGGGGAATGGATGGGACTCCCAGATCTCCAGTTCAAAGACTGGCTGAGGCAAAAGAGAAGGTGAGGTATCTATGGTGTAACTGTTTATTTGCAAACATCCAAAGGTTATTTGAGAACCTGTGGTGTAGTGCACTCTTGATGCAGATGCCTGTCTTTTATGGATGGTTCTAGTGAGAGGAAGGGACCCCCAGCAGAAGTCCGTTCTGCATTCAGTGGTTCCAGATAAAGTTGCAGCACTGGTTGCAGCGTGTCCACTTCTCAAGCACTCGTTGGGGACAGCTCAGAATGCAGAACCATCAGTTCTGAAAGCGCTTGGAGAAGGCATGGTGGTCTTTGCTGCTGTCCTCAATGACAAGTATAATCATCACAGGTACTGGGGAGTGTCTCAGGTGCTTCTGAGAGATGTTAGCTGCTTGAAAGCTGAAAAAGTCCAGGAGATAAAAACGGAATAGAAGTGAGATATGTAAGAGGAAGGCATAAACGAGTTACCATGTTCTTAGGGAGGGGATTCACGTTTGACAAGTTGCCTCTGTCCAACAACCTGCAAACCTGCCCGTTACCTCTCTAGACCAGCAATAAGTTTGCTGAAGACGAGAAAACTAGATGAGAAGTCTCCTCTGTTAGTGCCAGGATAGAAGGCTCTAGGATATACATTCAGTGGAAGAGGGAGAAAGTCTAAGCTCCTACTTAACTGCTGCTTGACCTTTGTTTGTAATGTGTTACAGAGGCCTTAGAAACAATAGAGCCACGGCAGAAGACATTGCTCAATATTACCAACATTATGTGATGAAGAAAGGGCTGCAGAAGAACTTCAGAAGTGGCACTGTTGTGACCTCTGTGAGGAAAGTGAGCGCAGAGAGCATCTCCAGCCATGCACAGAAAGATCTGCAGGAGAAAAGTGACTCACTCTGGAACTTCACTGAGGAAAGTATGGAGGTCTTTAAAGTAGATGGAGTTTTCAAAACTGTGAAAGGTGACCAGGAACCCTTCTCCATCTATGCAGAGAATGTGGTCCTAGCTACAGGAACATATGATAGTCCCACTTGGCTTGGGGTCAAGGGAGAGAACCTTTCCTATGTCCATCACCAGCTGTCTGCCCTAGAGGAAGCAGTGAAGAACAGCAGTGTTGGCATCATGTCAGATCCAGTCTTGATTGTGGGTGCTGGTCTGACAGCTGCTGATGCGATTCTTTTTGCTCACCACTGCAACATTCCAGTAATCCATGTTTTTCGAAGAACAGTCAACGATCCAGGTCTTATCTTTAACCAGCTCCCCAAAGTGATGTACCCTGAATACCACAAAGTCCATCAGATGATGAAAGAACAGTCAGCTGCTTGTTCTGGGCCCTATGAGTGTTACGTTAGCCTTCCTGAACATCATGTGTTATCCTTTGGCAAGGACAAGAAATGTATCCTTCAAGGCAAGAATGGCTACCAGAAGGTTTATAAAATTTCCATGGCTCTTGTTCTCACTGGCTCAAACCCCAACCTCTCCTTTCTGCCAAATAATGGCATTGACTTGGCAGTGGACAGTGACCAACCAGTCAATCCCAAGAGGAATCCCATAGATGTTGACCCATTCACCTATGAATGCACTCAGGAGAAGGGGCTTTATGCTCTAGGACCCTTAGCTGGGGACAACTTTGTGCGCTTTGTTCAGGGAGGGGCTCTGGCTGTTGCCAGCTCTTTGTTA